TATTCATTGAATATACCGGTGAGGTGGGTGATATCCACATCACTAAGGTCGCGGAGTGTAATGAACCGAATGTGGCCTGCTCCCGGTGCCGTGTTACGATGTAGATCTTGTAACACTACCCGTACTTCCTCAATCGTGATATCTGTACCAACAATTCATGTGTCTCGCCTACATGGGGATAGTCAGGGTAATGAGGTGTTGGGCCTGTCGGAATGAAATGTTTTTCGAGCTCACTGAGAAGTCTCGAGGGGTCGTCACAATACTAGTGTGTTAGGATGTGTGACTGTTGAAATGTTTTGTTTTCGTGGTGATGGGGTCTGTGAGGGATCGAAGAATCGACTATGTTTTTTCGGCGCCTAATGTTCCTGAAAGCCGGTTGCAGGATCTTCGCCAGTTATTTCTGGTGAGGGTCGCTGCATATTCTTGAGATTCCCGCATAATTTGATCTATTCTTTTTCTCAGTTTGCGATTCAGACGGCGTTTCCATCGCCGTGTCAGTCCTCTCCTTGCGTCCCAAAGATGAAGCAAATGTGGGTCAATGTCTGGTGTTTCAATGGTAGTACATAATGTGCACATGGTGGCCTTTATATCTTGAGTGAGAGAGTCAAGCCATCGCTCGTAACCTTGCCCCTCAGGTGGGTACCGGCGACGTTCCCTGAATTCGACCCAGTCTGTAATGTGTAAACGGCGCTCGGTGCTCCAGGCACCATTAAGTGGTAGAATGGTTGCCACAATATAGTGGTTGCTGCCAAGGTGCTCCTCTAGAGGACCATGCGCTACCACCAGGGCCGTATTGCGTACAAAGGTGAGGTCAGGGCCGGTGTCACGTGATATACTGTTGCAAATATGAGTGGGGTGCTCTGGGTCAGTTAGCAAAGTGTATCTCATGTTATAAATATCATTCCACAAGTGTGTTTCTTTGGCCTGAGATTCGACATAACCCCAAACTGCATGTGGACCGTCACAATCCCTGCACACCACATGAACCAGTCCAAAACTCCCAAATTCCATGAGGAGGCGGTGAAAGCAGTGCGTATGCGAACAGGGGAAACTGTACACATTTAGTAAAAACAAGCTTTCACTGTTAGAGCTTTGCATAATTATTTCGATTGTTTGGTGAGGAATGTCACTGCTAGTGGTATGCACGCTACAAGTGACATGTTGCAAAACTAGGGCTCCCACAAGAGGAGAGGCACCCAAGAGCGGGTGGTAGCCTGATAAACAAGGCGGACAATTTGGTTCTTGTAAGAGGATAACATCAGGAGCACCAGTGGATGCGGCTACGTACTGCTGTAGGGAATTCCGCATTTGGCGGAATACCCTGCAGTTCCATTGCCACACCACTAGTTGTGGCGTGTCACGCGACGCCATGCTCATTGCGGTGTGAAACGGAAGAGCGTGTGCAAAGGTGTGAGCGCTGTGCACTCGCATTGGATGCTGACAGCCGAGAGATTTGATCAAGTTTAGCCTCGGTAGTTGGCACGGTGGTGGTACGTGCGAGCGTGCATTCTATACATAACTGGACGTGCTACATAATCTCAATTTGAAGGATTTCCACGCGCCATTATATCATGTCGAGTGCAGCCTGCATACTGGTGCCCATTTCTGCTAGCAGCGCGTCCATTTGCTTTCGCAGGCAATCACAACGGGCCTCCATGTCTCGATGTAGGTGTGCTATTTCCGCGAGAGGATCGGGGATCGGAGATTTAGCGATCTGAGGGGACGTGGTGGGGAGTGATTGGCGGGACAGAGCAAGCTGTGCGAGACTATCTACCTGGCTTACCTCCCGAGAAGCCACCTCGCTTGCGTTCTGTTCTGGGGCCCGCTGCTGCTTGTAGAAAGCGTGTACCCCCTTGACAACAGGTTCGCTCTACAAAGCCTTCTGGTAGGGTTGTCGTGTAGATGGGGAAGGAGCGCGCATCTTCGATGGACGCCGTGATTCTTCGCAAGAGCAGAAGCGGGACTTGAGGCGAGTCTGGGATTAGGAGCAGGTCCGGGACTTGAAGCGGGTCCGGGACTTAGAGCGGGTCTTTGACTTGCGACGTGATTTCGATCAGCTCTTGGTGCGCGACTCTTCTGCCTTCATTGGGGTGCGTGAATGGCGGGTTTCGGCTGTCTAGCTTGACACGGTATAGTCACTGGAGGGTTGGAGTTCACGCAGTTTATTTTCGAGGGCTTTCCGCACCCATGCCTTGTTGAGTGCCTGCCTCTCACGCAGAGGGCAGTTTAGATCTGTCGTAGGGTGAAGTCCGTCACAGGATTTGCAGTGGGGAGTGCACGGATGCGACTGGGTGAGGTTGTCGGCGCCGCACGTCGGGCATATGACGTCTGGTGTAGGGCAATGGTCATTCCGATGGCACAGCTTTAGGCAAATCTTGCAAACCACTTGTCGGGAGCGATGGGGGTAACAACGCTGTTTGGCCCCGTAGAAGCGTACGTAGCGAGAGACCTTCAATCCTTCGAAAGTGACCAAAGCAATGTTGGTCTGACCTATCATGCCCGCTTGAAGTATTTGGGTTGCAGGAGCCACAAGTTCAACCTATCCAGGCAAAGCCCTCCATGAGGACGCAGAATGATCTTTTAATCGTGTATAGGGAGTCGAGGAAGATGCTGGTTCCCACTCTGCTTGTGTACATTGCGCTGAGAGAAGCCCGGGACGCTCTCGCTTAGTTGAGTTTCCTTGAGGGCGGCGGCATTCTTCGTCACCGCCGACGACCCTTGCTCATTGGAAGACGGCGTTACGGTGGTTGAATGCTCCATAGACAGAGCCATGAGTTGGCTGAGAGTCCTTCGCACTGATGCATGCTTCGGGCTCGTAGTATGGGACGCGCAAACGACGCCGCAGAAGCGGCAGCCGCGGCGGCTCGCCTCAGAGAGTCGGAGTCCCACGCATGGATGGACGAAAGATCAACTGCGACAAGCTTAGCTTCGGTGAGGTCATAGCCACTTGTTGAGTTGAAAGGTACCACCATTTAGACGAAAAGTCTCACAATCGAAAAATGCACATGATGCAGGCGAAGAAACGGGGAGCGTTGCACGAGACGCTGGGGCGTGTCTCCCGCAAACACAGGAGCTCCGAACAGCACGTCCGCTAGAACCAGACCCTCCAATGCTAAATGGAGTTAGTTGTACCCGGTGACTTGTCGTCTGGGCGCTCCCAAACCATAACTGAGATTGGTCGGTAACAGGAATTAATTATCTGCTACACACAGCAGCAAACTGTGTGCAATGTTTTAACTAACAGACTCCCAGCAGCATATTGCAGCAAAGAACGCCAAACGAAAATTTTTGTATCAGTACCCCTTTAACAGCGGCTTTAAAATTATATTTCGGTGGCATGAATGGGGTATGAATGAATCACTGGGGGTATGAATGAATCACTGTATGCACTCCAACCCCATTTTCACGGGTTTAATGTCAGCTTGTGCAATACTGTAAGAGGAGTGAATCACCGACATTTCACAACCGCTGGATCAAAAGCTGTTATTACGGCTCCAACCTCAAGCGCCACTCCTTCACCGTGAGGCCATTCTGCCATGACGCAACTCTTGCTGAAGCCACTCTCTGAAACTCTGCACTACGAGTTTCGCAGAGTGGGCTTCTGCTAACAAAATTTGAACCATAGTTCAGAGTTTTGGACAGAAGCTCACTCCGCACTCCTGAGAATGGCAATGCTGCTGTGTATGCTGTGGTCAAGAGTTTTGGTTGCATCAACAATGGTGATCACCCTGCTGTGTGACTATCCATAAATCAGTACTAAGAAATCACTCTCATACATTATGTCACGTGTATATACGATTATCCTTTCCCTAAAATCATGGTTTCTGCACTATGCTCACATTAAAGTGTGGACACCACAGCTACGAGTCATAGCTGCAACTGCGCACTCCTACGTGCAATACAGATTGATTGATTGATTGATATGTGGAGTTTAACGTCCCAAAACCACCATATGATTATGAGAGACGCCGTAGTGGAGGGCTCCGGAAATTTCGACCACCTGGGGTTCTTTAACGTGCACCCAAATCTGAGCACACGGGCCTACAACATTTAGGCCTCCATCAGAAATGCAGCCGCCGCAGCCGGGATTTGAACCTGCAACCTGCGGGTCAGCAGCCGAGTACCTTAGCCACTAGACCACCGCGGCGGGGCACGTGCAATACAGAAGAAGCCACAGAGCTATTGTAGTAGGTCTGCACGTTTTTTTTTTTTTGTATTTTATCAGTTTAGCCTCTCTTCAATCATCCATACACTAATATTATCTTTCCACATTTTCCCTCAAATGCAGTTTTCAAAGAAAAGAAAGCAGCTTCTGTGAAGAAAATTATACAGGAAATGACACAAAAAATTCAAATTCTGAAGAACTAATTGTTCAATAAAGACAGAGAAACACACAAGGATGCAGTTTAGGTCTAGTATGCCAATTCTTTCATAGCACCCCAGCCATCCAGAATGCTCCTATATTTAGAAGCCCAGTCCTGTGTTCACTGTTGCAACCTAAACGTGTCTCTACATTTAGTGTCGGCTCGACCCTGCTGAAGACATTGTTTGACTGCATGCCTGGTAGGGCTGTGTTTCTGTAGCTATTTCTGATGATTATTTCACATCAAGGCTGGCAGTGGGCTGCATGTTCTCACCAATGCCATGATTCTGTGCTCTGGAACTTTGACACAAGCTGCACTGATGGCTCTTTGAGTGTCATTTGATGCCAGCTACAATGCCGCGCTCACTGCCAGTCTCTTCTGGCAAACACTGATGCACGAGAGCTGCCTCGTAACAGGTGTAGAAGCCCTTCACAGCTTCGTGTATTATTGGCATTGATTCATGCAGTGATGCACTGATTGGTTTCAGGCAATTCAGTAACTATCCTTTAGCACAATAAAAAGTTAACACAAAGACCAAGACATTTTTTCGCTATATTTTATACCAATCCACAACAATCTTGAATAAGAAAATGAAAAAAAAAACTGTATATGATAAGAAGCAAAAGGATTACTCACAGGTCCTTTGAGGTGACTTCAGTAAGGCAACAGTTTCTGGATCACTTGCAAGTTCAAGTGGCGTTCTTCCTTCTTTGTTCTTAAGATTCTTGTTGGCCCCTACACTTGGCATATAAAAGAGGTACAGGTTACAACTTGTCATTAGCATTGCCAATGGAGGTTTCTGAAGGGCCCAACCTTGCCAACAGAACATTTAGTAGTTTACGTGCATATACATACATGCACAAATACATGACAAACTGCATGCAAGGTGTGTGGAGTCCCCATGAAATAGAATTCTGGCTACATCCTTGTCAGTAGTGGAAATGTCACAAACCTGCAGTGAGCAGCATTTTTACAATGTTGCTATGTCCCTTCCAAGCACTGGAATGGAGTGGTGTGTCGCCAAGTTTGTTCTGCAGAAGAGAAAGCCCAACATGAGTCTTGATTAGCTAGCTCTAACCTTTACCGTTTGTAAGTGCTACAACAACCCATTAGTTTAGAAAACACATTCATCTTTAGACATCTCTACTTCTTCTCATTTACGTACGTTTGCATGCTAATAGTAGCACAATTATGGCATACTAACAATACCAAACCCCTCAGTTGTTATCCTTTGCTGCCCTATATCTGATTGTGTCAGTTTCTTTTGTTCCTTCATTTCACCAGCTGTGCATATTTTTTTTGCTCATTTTACTTGTCACCACCTCGTAAAGCACCATTATATCATCATCAGCCTGCTTATGTCCCCTGCAAGACGAAAGCCTCTCCCAATGATTGTGATGACCTCTAAGTGTGCCACGGCACAGCAGGTGACACTGCCAGCACGTCGCAGACTGACATTTCTTTCCCCCCCTCTGCACCGCCAACGAATGCACAGAGAGGGAGAGGAAAGTGGAACCAGTCCCCGAAGCTACAGAGTTGAACGAACAATAAAGTAAGATTGGATCAAGGCTCTGAGCAACACGCTTCGTCTCTATATCGCTAACGCGTGCCAACATGATATTGGGAGAGGCCCAACCCTATTCTGTGTGAGAATTTTGTTTCAATTTCGTCAGGAATCACCTAGCGACAGAAAAACGCAGCACACATGAAAGATACTTAAGGGACAAGTGCCACTTACCACTGTTTTTAGCACAACATCGTCATGAAACATATATTATACCTGTTCCATTGCCGGCAGTGCAATTTAAAAGCTGAGCTAAACAAACCCGCTGTAGTGATAGCACAAGGACCAGCGCACGTGTAAAACTGCAGAAGTTCTTCAAATAAAAGTGAAAGACAGGTGCAGGAGCCGGCCTTCAATTACTCCCACTGATGTTGAGGTTTCATATCTATGGCATATGTGATTAGATTCTTGGTTGGGGTTGATAAAGATTTTGCTAATGTGTTTAATTATGTTGATATATGCCATTTGCAAGACAGCGCTTGTGCCATGTACTCTCTTACATTCTGTGTCCTTTTTTTGCTGACTGTTATCAACGTGTTCCAATCAACCAAATTTGCAACGTTACGTTACTTCCTTTGTGCTTGCATAGGCTTGACGACCATCTAATCTCTCCGGTCGCCCCCTCCCATACCCCTTCCCCTTTTGTGTGACCCCTTGAAGAGCATCATTATTTATTTATTGTTTTATTATTCATTTATTATTACTGTAAACCATTAAATATTTATACTCATTAAAAATCCTGAAAAGAAAATAAGCAGTTGCAAGAAGAAAAGCAAATAAACAAATACTGCCCACAATACAAGGACCTTATATGTCAAGCAATAATACACACCTGTACATCAACTTGAACGCCAGGTATGGACAGGAGCATTCGAGCACACTCGGTGTGACCTCCGTGTGCTGCCCAGTGCAATGCTGTGCATCCAGCCTTGTCGAGACTATTGACTGAAACCTGAAAATCGACATGGCAATATTATTCATTCAACTAACTGCACTGAAACACTTTTGAGACACTTTAGTGAACTATACTTAAGGACTTGTTTCTTTGATGGACATAACCTAGTTATACCAACAGACAGTAAAGCCAATGATGGTGCTGGAAACATTATTTGTAGTCTTTAGCTGTAGTGCAATAATTACAACATAATTGAAAAAACTAAACTTGCTGCTGTTAGGGACTAAACAAACAACTTTCGTACAAAGCATCCAATGCTCTAGCGATTGAGCTACAGCAGTGGTCATCGGGCAGTTATTGGTCAGCTGCATGTTTAGAAGAGTATAACATTCTACAGGATGTCAGCTGGCACAAAGACTGTTCGACACTTGCCGTAATGGCTGCAAGTGGCGCTGGCTAACACTCTTGGAAATGCACACACAGGAATGCCAAAAAAGTGCACGGGAAATCGACTGCCAAAGTAACTCAAGACAGTAGCACACCACACATGTTAATTTCAGGTTGTAGATGTTGTCCCCACCAGTAGCAAGTTTATTTTTCATGCACTTCTTTTTTATTTATGTCGCAATCACCGTCATAAAATGCCGAGCAAGTGCCACCCCTGCAGTAAAGGATTTTCCGACCAGATTTGTGAGGAGGGTGCTTTCTCGGTCCCGGATCAGCCATTGGCACTTATTTGGTGCTTATTTCGGATCTCCCGAAAAAGGGGAGGGGGCGCACGCTTGGGTTGGGGCACCTGCTTGGCATTTTGTGGTACACCACAGCTAAAAACAACCAACAATCATCCTTATCGCCACCTTGCTTTCACTGTCTGTTGGTTTAACTGAATTAAACAAAGCTTTCTAAGTAATAACTGAATGCACCACATTTGAAGAAACATTGATCTCGGATAAATGCCGATTGAATGAACATATATTATAATTTAGCAACTTATGAAATAGAACCGGGGCACTTGCCCCCCTACCACGAGACACACCAGCAGTTGCCTCCCACTGCCCCTTTCTCAAGCAAAACCTTCCTTAATGTCGAAACTAGTTTATTGCATCACTTCAGTGTTTGTTTGAAGTAACATTGCTCTGAACACAACCTCAATACAATGAGGTTTGATGCACAACTGCCCTAGCAGTTACAGCTGATTTTGAAATCACTTAGACTGGAGCAAAGATTTCCATTTGTGAGTATGAGTAACCGCGACTTGCATAACTGTTCAGGAATCACATTTCAAGGAGTAAGATATACAACCTTGTTGGAAAGGCATTCTTCTAGGAACTGCAGGTTGCCTCGTTTTGCTGATTCATGAAGAGGATGAAGAACTTCCTCTGCGTTTTCTTCAACTGCAGCCACAGAAAGCATTCAAATGAACAATCACTTTTACTCGATCCTTTCTTCAGAGCTGTACATAAGTGTTCTGTAATGCCAAACATGCTGTACATAATGTGTGTTCACAAAGAGTCAACCAAAACATTTTATGCAGCTTTAAGACACATTATTGCTCATATTCCCTCTGTGCCCTATTACACAGCGTGTAGGACTACATAACAATATCCGACAAACAAAACTAAATTAAGTCTACACTCGCAAAATTGGCTAATGATTATTACAGTGACTGATTTCCCTCTGTGGAAAACATGTCTCTGGAATCGCCACACAGCAGATATTCGACTCGCACCTCAGGCTCAGCAGTAGAAAATCACAGCTGCCAAACAACAGTGCTCATAACCTTTGCTCAGAGAGAGGCTGAAGAATACCAAGATATGTACATTAAACGGTCCCACATGTACATTGAACAGTCTCTGTTCCACTAAAAGAAGGAAGCACGTGCTTTTGCCACAAGCAACTTTATTTTTGATACTGCTTCACATAGTGACTACTAGCAGCCACTGCCAAGAAGTAAGGAATGTTGTACCTGTCTTCCAAGTCGTCAGTAAACAGGTCAGGAAATAGTGCCTCCAACACGAATCTGTCTTACCGTAATTACTCGGTATAAGCCCCGACCGACGTTCACACCGTGCTTTCCACCAGTTGGGATCAGACGTCATGTCGAAAACGTACAGCAAGTCCCCTTCTTCGAACGACAGCTCATCTTGCTGGGGACGAAACAAAGTAAAAAAAAAAAGTGTCAGTGGGCTATCGTGCGCACGATCCGCTGCGTTTCTTTGACGCATCACATTATCCCTCGACACGTTAACATCCGGTCAACCGTTATATCATATACCCACCTGTTGAGCTTGGTACTTGTAGAGCGCCCGGAAAACTTTCACGCTACCTGCATATACCGCACAGGTTAGAGGTTAGAAACGTTTGCAAACAATCGCTTCAGCAAGTTCGCCTTTTTTTTTTTTTTTTTAAATCAAGCCTCTATAACCACACGAAACACGGGTGTGGCCTCATTAAAAAGGATGACATAACTTTCGCGCGAAGTCATTCATGTATATTTTGTCACCTTCACTAGCCGTGAAACCTGCTCTTAATTGCTTTTTTTTTTATTCGAGAGCTGTAATGAGTAAGAATCACAACGGCGCAAACGTGACGTTTGAGTTGACTCCAAAAGTTTGACGGTAGTTTAGTTTCGACGGTCGACCTTACCTGGTTTCGGTGGGGGCGGAGCTGGCCTGGACGGTTTGCTCGACATCGTGTGACAATTCTACCTTTCACTACGGCTTAGCAAAGTGTAGTCGCTTCGCGCATCGCAACCGGGTCGATTAATTCCCGCCGTGGATTGCCTCACAGCGGACGCTCAGTCAGCCACAATCACCTCATTCCGTGTTTCCGCCACTACTACCGCGGGCTCTGAACGTTTGTTTTGGTAGTTTTTAGTGGAGTGACGTCCTACGTTACATACTCATGTTGCATTTATGAGAAGTCCTGTTGGCACATTCAATGTACTACGTAAATTTCGATATGAAGGCATGGCTCAGGCTGAGCACGACGAACATGGTGAAAGCAATTTAAAAAACACCGAATATGTTTATGCGCCGTAAAAACGGCTAGTTTCGCTCTCATCGCGATAAAGCCGTGAGGCACGCCAGAGGCCGCCACGATAGAGAAAATGGCGGCTTCCTTGAAGCGCTTTGCCGCGGCGTTTTCTGGGATTTCGTTTCGCTTTCTTGCTGCCGGATGCGCTTGCCGAAATCAACCGTTGCGGCCGCCGACCGCGCGTAAAACTTGTGCACTATGCGCGTACCATAAGGACACTCTGTTGGAAACAGGCCCTTTACTGCCTCCATCGGTACGGCTAGCCGGGCGATCGTCGAGTGGAGCTTGCTGGAACTGCTCCGAGCCCCTCGCGAAAAAGGATCTCGTCTGCCGGCGGTGCGAGAGTCCGCAGGAAGTGACCCACGCACCGAACTACTTCGATGTATTTGATGAAGAGGCGAAATATGACATCGACGCCAGTAAGCTCCAGGGAAAGTTTCGACAGTTGCAGCGCTTGCTTCATCCCGACAAGTTTGCTGCCAAATCCAAGGTACGAATCCACTGTTGTTGTCTGGTCCGTGCCACTTGTATATTATTTAGACTTTCTAAATATACCCTAGATTATCAACGTATTATGGTGCATCAATATCAAAAATAATCGAGCGAAAATGCCTGTTTGGTCTTCGTTAACTTAGGCAATCTATTTTAGCGCGATTATGATGGTGCCGCGCGGGGGCTAGCCAAGTTGGTTTAGCCCCTCCACCTCGGAAATGTTACTGGTACGCCTCTGCGTATCGCCTTCACATCATGCTGGTCGTCGGTGGCCTTGTCAGAATTCTTTAATATTGTTACGAAGAATAAGGGAGTTTACCCCCCCTCCCCCCCGACTGGCTATGCCAGTGGTGTAGAGGTGTGCACTAGGCATTGCGCCGTGCTCCCGACCGGGCTGCAATTAGGTGCCTCTCTTCTCTTCTAACCACCACCACCACTACAGGAACATGCCACTGATGAGCATATGAGATCACTAATGTCACCATGTTTCACGATTCACCAATCGAAAGACTTGCCAAGTTCCCAACCATATGCGATTTCTTGAAGTGTCCTTTATGCTGGCACACTAACAGTTTCTCTCGATTTACAGAAGGAGCAGGATCTCTCTGACAACCTGTCGGCACTGGTAAACCAGGCATACCAGACTCTGTCCAAGCCCGACAGTAGAGCCAAGTATTTACTCAAGGTTAGCGGGAAGGATCTCGACTCCGTGGTGCTGGACACTGCATTCTTAGGTCGCATGATGGAACTAAATGAGGAAGTGGCTTCTGTAGAAGAGCGGCGGGATCAAAAGTCGGCAGAAGAATATCTCAAAATTGTGCAAACTGAAGCTGAACAGGTGTCAAATCAGCTAAGTATGGCATTTGAAAAGGACAACCTTGATCAAGCTAGCATTGAATTAGCAAAGTTGAAGTACCTTAGAAATATAGAGGGAAAGTTGAAAGAAGTCATAGAACAATAAAATGCTATTTCTGTTAATGTTGGAGCCCAGTGGTATTCTCTCTCTTTATTTATTGCTCTGTATCTCCTTTCCTTTTTTGTGACTTAAGTATGGTATTTAATGTTGAAAATTCAGTGGAAATCCAGAAACTATGGTAGCAGGCAGCATTTGCCACGCTCAAGAGCAAACCAATGAAATTCCACAGATTCTACACTGTTGTCAGTTTATCACACAAGGGTAAGGCCAATGGAAATGTAAAACTGCATGGTGAAGTTATGCCTACTGCTTTATTCTTGCTTGCCAAACATTGTCATTTTTAATTGCAGAAATCCATTCAGTATTTTCCAGAGTTCACCGAGAAATAGTTGAACAAACTGTGCATCATTTATCAGGTGACTCCTAACAAAGATGGCTGTGCATTATAAGAGCTGCAGCCTGTTTGAACAAAAAAGCCCTATTTGCACAATGTCACTCAGGTCACTCCTAGGGTTATCAAATATTAGTACCCTAAAACTGCAGACCCAACAGCTTGTATATGGGTAGGACAGTTTTGCTGCATTATCACTGAAGTTGGTCACAATGTGACACACTGCAAACTCTACTGTAAAAACAGGTTTTGCATGAGCAGTATAAGTATAGTTAACGACACTTTTGCATGATGTAAGCACATTCAGTAGACTTGGTGATTTCCGTGATTATGTTTAATACTTAAAACTTAAATACAGTTCTTATGAAATTTTCATGAAAGCAGCAGTTTTCTAGCCATAACTAAGCTGTATTGTCAAATGAAATCGTATTTATGTGTAAAATCATGTCATATGCAAGACAACCACGAGCAACTAAACATATATAGACTTATAGAAATCCTAGGAAATTATATATTGGCTTCTTTCCTGATGGAGGCAACATTTAGGCCCCACTGTTATGTATGTTATATAAAAGTCCTTTGCCTTTCTCCACAGAAAACATGTGCAGCTGCAAGTCCGACAACTGTGGCTCCTCATTGACGTATAAGCTTTCTAGTGGTATGCTAATATCTAAACTTTTCAAAATTTTAACAGGACATCGTCTAATATTCAGTTTAGTAATCAAAAAAGAACACTCACCCGCAATGTGGAAATCTAATTTTTCGGAAAGATTTTTCAAACAGTCTTCATTATTTAAGCAAAAGATTGTTAGAAATGGATAGCAAAATTTCTCGGCAAGACATCAAGATCTGCCTAATTAAACACCATTTCACATTAAAATGCAGAATAATAGTGGGTATTAACTATTGATAGATGCAGCATCTATGCAGTGTCATCAGTTTGAATAGAAATATTGCCACAGAGACTAACTACACTATCCGATATTATAAAGAATTAGCGTCCACAGTCTTGTGCACACTCTTGCTTGTGGCCGCATGACTTATGCCTCTTATTCATGGGCAGTGTGTTATGCCTCTTATTCACATGCCTCTTATTCACGTGTCAGTGTGGGTTGGAGGTGCGAAGAAGAAGGAAGCGTGTGGACTCTTTCATTTTTTTTTGCACATAATTTTCAGGGCACAAGTTCGCCCTAGTTTTTGGCGTTTCTTCTCTTGGACCCGTTGCAATATGTCCCTAAACGTACTTCATAGAAAAATAGCTCCATCTCCTGCGACCATTCAAACGAAAGGCAAAGCACTTTTTTTTGGGCTGTCATCATCGTGATTGAAACACATTTTTCATTTGGTGGAGAAGGTACACACAAATAATATTAACTGCTGGTGTTACCATATTATGCGGCATGCAGTAGCAGTTGACTCCAGACTAATTTTGACCACCTGGATTTTTTTAATGCACGTCTAAATGTAAGTGTATGAGCACACACACTGCTAGTATATTTCGACTAGTCATTTCTCCTGTGACATGCCTTCATTCAAATTTCATCACTTCATCGTTTCGTGAAGTTTAGGCCTTGTGTAACTCGGTGCATTTCTTGTGCAGTCGGCTACCATATTGCTGTTGAAGTGAAATGTACTGAATTTTTAAGGAAATTGGTACACCATAAAGTGTAGTTGCCTAAGTTTGCATATAAGAAACTGGCCTGTATCTTGTAGTAAAAAGTTCTCTTTTCAAAAGAACTTCAGCTATGGCAGAGTACTTCTGCCTCAACATTGAGTTTGTGTGTAAAGACGGCAAAAGCCTTACTCTCATAGCTTAATTTATTGAAGATATGCATGTACCTATTAGACATCCTTTCTATGGCCCTGTGCATTTATGGTCTCCTGTCTCGTGTAGACAGAAACACATTTCAGTAAGGGCATGTCCTTGATCCAAAGTGAAGGCTGGACAGGCGAGCGCAATCAAGTGTCATTTTATGCTGTCTGTGCCATACAGAAAAGTTTGCTGGAGGACAGGCACCTGGTGTGCCATCCCCTGGCTACATCCATGTCTGCCGTGTATATCACACTCAGTGCGCACCTTAAATTTTTGAGGGTTTGAACTCTGGCCTCCTCCACGACTACACTGATGAACATGGAGTGCCACTTTCAATGCATGCTCATGTCAGTATTGTTTCCCTGGAGAACGGTTGCAATTGGCTGTTTTAGAATACGGTATACAAAGCTTTGCGTTAGTGTGCGTCGCTGCTGCACATGCATCATACGCTACCTTCCCACACACCCACGATTAGTGATGGAAATGGCGTACGTACCCAGCAAACGCTATTGTTGCATATCCGACACAAAAACTGCCCAATGAGAATCGACTCAAAGAGCCAGGGGCACTCCCGAAGGACCTAGGTTTAGCACGTGCTTTCTCTTGCCTGGGAGAAGCTTCGGACAGTCTCGGATTATGTGAGTTTTGATGGTCACGTGCAAGGCATAGGCGGAAATTTTTTTTCGGGGAATGGGGGGGGGGGTGCCACTTTTTTGGCCACGTCACTAGTACCGTGGACTGGACAAGCGCTGCCTTCTTGTGTCATTTTCCTTTTGGGGATGCGCATCAAATCAATAAAATGTGGGCTGTATAGATCTTAACACATCTTTTAAAGGTGACTTTATGGGAATGGTGGTGTCACTTAAGAATGGTGTGTCACTTAACACAAGCACTGTGTTAGGTCATTTGTTATGTCATAGCTTTCAAACAATGATGCGAAGTAATTAGATCGCTCGTGCACACACTCGCGACAAAAAGTCAGTCGTCACTCGTTGGGGCGGTGCAGTCGCAGCAGAACGTAACCGCCCGCTCTTCGAAGACCCACTCTTCGCGAAGGTCTTGGGGTAGACTGTCGGACGAGGCGCGTTCCCCTTCGCACACTGGCTGGGCGGTCAGGCGCCTTAACACGTTGACGGTGAATGCGCGGCCCTTGCACTCGAAGTGCGTGAACCAGCACGACTCGCCCTTGCAGCGCACCGTGCGAAGGTACCTCGGAAAGCGGTCCTCGCCCAAGTCGAGCCACTCCATACGAGATTCGCAACCCCAGGGCTTCTTGTCGTCGTCATGACGACGCCGGCGGTGGGAATTTTCATGCTGGCTACCTCTGCCCGCGACGTTGCTGCTGCCGACGTTCCGTCACGCTCACCTGTCCAATGGGAGCTCCTTTCCAAGCGAAGACGATGACTTGCGGTGCTTCTTCGGCTTTCCGTTTGCTTTCCCGTCGACGACGGCTTGCGCTCTGAATCTGTTCGTACGTATTTGCATGACCGTCGTTCACGACGTCTTGAACGAAGTCGGGGTCTACGCGAAAACTCGGGTGAGCCTGCGGGTCGAGCTTCGCGCGGTCGACGTGAGGGCCGTCGCTCTGCCACACGGATTCCGTGTGTCGGGGATAGATGCGTACCGGATCTTCTTCCTTCGGCGGTTTGTCTATGGACATGTAACGCGCGTTGAACGCCGGGCCCAGACGCTCACGAAGCTCTTCCACTGGGGTCGGGGCGCAGCCGTTCTTGTCGCATGCTCCTGGTCCCAGGGACTGGAGGAGCGCGGCCGCCAAAAGCACGGTGCGCACTTGCGAAAGCATGGCGGTCTCATGACAGCAGCGTCGACGGTTCGCGCTGATTTCCAGAAGTCAGCTGATCAACGTAGCGTCCCGCGCTCGTGTCTTATATTCCAGGCGACGATTGCGTAGCGATCACCGGTTATCAGGAATAAAACGATCCGATTCTTGTAACGGACGCGTGATGGTTCGCTGCCATCCGCTTTTGCACCTGCGCCGAGGCCCAGAGTGAGCGCACACCATGGCTGAAGGGAAACGACGATTTTACTCGGAAGCGAGGAGTGTTTGCCGTCTCGCTGGCCCAAAGCCAACGAAGCGGGAACGGTGGTAGTGGTTAGAAGAAGGCCCCTAATTTCTGCAGCCCGGTTGGGAGAGAGGGAGAGGAGAAAAGTGAGCAACAATTGGGGGAGTCGGAACTGCCCAGAATGCGTCAACAATGCCGCTCTTTATTCGCGAACAAAGCAGAGGTCAGGCGGGCGCTGAGAAACTGACAGGTAGAATGTGCGCCGTCCCTAGCTGCCCGGCCTAAACCTAGTTCAACAACGTGGCTTGAAATTCTATGTTTGCAAAAGTGGACTGATCGCAGTTTGCTTGGCGTGTCAGTGACATGCGCAGCCACGACGCCAAGTGTGCTTCTAAAAAAAGCATGTTTACAGCGTGGTCATGATGCTGTTCAACTCGCGTTAATTTATGCGCTTACTCACCACAGAAGAGTTCAACTTGAATGCATAGACCAAGTGATCTTGCATTTCTACTACAGTTTAAGTTTATCAGTGTTGCAGATGCAGACGAAAAATAGGATGGCTTAAATTAGCTTTCGCCTTTCAGAACTCGAGACAGCGTGTCTATAGACGGGACAAATACTAGTTTCATACTGTTGTGACTGGCACCAGAGCTGACGAGGGAGCGGTGCTCTTTGGATCCTCAAACAAGTAGCCGACCGGCCGGCCGCCTATGACCGCCAGGCATTGTCCCTCCTAGCCGGAGGGTGAGACGTCGCATCGCCACGACGCCGTAAGCCGTTTGAGAGAAAACAAGAAATACAGCATCTTCCTTGGAAGAGACCGCGACGGCCGCCGCAAATGGTCCCGCTAATTAAGCGAGCAGTTTGGCGGACCCTTTGAAGTATGCTGTCATGAGCTTGGGACCCCTCTACCAGCGGCATACACACGACGAGGAAGAGCTCCGCTGGCGCCACCTTGGGGGGGGGGGGGGGGAGTTGTTATAAAAGGGAAAAGAAGAGAAAAGTGAGCCCCCTAACTGTCTGCTTCAGGGTGCGACACCTCAACAGTAGCTCACAATGAATGGGGGTGAGGAGGTATTAAAAGGATTGGATTAAAGGTATATATATAGAGAGAGAGATGCGCTGAGACAGCGAGCGAGGACATATGAGGGATAGGAGAGATAGGAAAGATGGAAACACGGTCACCGGAGTCCAAGGACGGGGCACCACTTGCGAGGGCTCTTGTCGGCGTCACGAGATGGCGTAGGGTAAGTCCAGTAGGTCAGATCTACACTGTCGTCGGAGATCGGCGTCAGGGGATGACGTAGGGCCAGTCCAGTCGGCCAGAGCTACGCTGACGTCGGAGATCGCGAGGGCACAACCGGTCGGCACGGAATCCAGCGAGCGAGTCCTCGCCACCTTGGACTGCAGAGTCACGCCTCAACATTGGGCGTTCACGTGGGCCGTGCATGCTCGTCCCCCTCGCCAGTTGTGTGTGATCTGTGATTGGACAGTAACCTCTGCACGTGTTCCGTAATCTATAGGGATCTGGGGAGAACATACCCTTTATAATAAGCCACCCGGCTCATTCGAAGGAGCACCATGTAGAGGAACGCCAGGTTCGAGAGCTCGCCATGTAAGAAAGAGCTCGTCCTGTACGAGAGCTCACTATGTACATAATATAAATAACCCTTCTTCAAGTCTCTCTTCCTCCTGCCTCGACAACTTCCTCCCGTACCTCTGGTGCCTGCAAACCCCGGTCGTAACAACTGGTTGGCAGCGGTGGGATACGCCTCAGCGACGGAGAACGACATGGACCGGAGGTCAGCCGAAAGCCCAGGAATTCGGCGGGTTCGAAGCAGCGTACCGCGACCGCAAGTAACGGGGTGAGTGCCTGGCTTTGTGTTTGAGATATATCGAGTTTTTAGCCTAGATTCGTTAAGAGATAGATATAACCAACAACTGCCTGGCCACTGTGGTTGTTATCTCGGCACAGAGCAGCACTGGATAATTATCAGAGCATGTTAAGCAGGAAAGCTTAGATAATTCGATAGGAACGAGTGTGTGCTTAAGCTCGTAGTCTCCGCTACGGCATTTGCCAGGCTTCAATTTTTCCAGACCCAAAATTGAAACGCTGGTGGTTTTGTGTTTTGTCACAGCTGAGCCAAAGCAAAGCAGTATAGTCATTCACCTCATGAGATTAACGAGAGATAACCTGCTAAACCTGTGTTGGGATCTTGACCTAAATTTTATCGACGATATGCTTGCATCTCAACTCCGTGAAATAATTCTCGAAAGCAAAAGCGAAAAGGCGGATATCGAGCACTTCGGGAATATGTATTTAATAGATCGGAAGAGGAAGAGAAGCGCAGGCAGAACAAAGAGGAAATCGAGCGCAGGTACTAAAGAACACAGGAAGAAGATGCAGGAATTAGATGAGGAGATGGAACGGATGCATCGTAAGGTGGTGGCATTGCAGCAAATACGCCAAGCATCCGTAGATGTAGCGCACGAACGGTGTGATGTAGCGGCGGTGCCTTTTGAGGCTGAAGAGAAGGCTATAGTACCTATAAGGACATGGTTGAGATTCTAACCCGTTCCGAGGAAAAGGAGCTCGCGGTCAAAGCGGGGTGAGGGTTCTGTGGTGGTGGAAACGGAGTTAAGATTAGCAGAGCTTTCCATGAGAAATGAAGCTTGCAGCCCTTTAGACGATGTTGATGAGCGTCAGAGGCACCGAAGTTGGCACCAAGGAGTGGGCCAGACGGAGAAAGCGTCCGAAAAACTGAAGCGCAGCAAAGCTCGCGATCAGCGCGGCGCGTTTGACGAGGACCTTCAAACGGCGTGGCGGATTCGCGAGGAAAGGCCCGTTGTCTTCTCTGACTGGCTTGAATCGCATGTGTCTGAGCGGCCGCAGAGTAAAGAAAAGAAAAGCGCAATCTACGCGGCCGCGGTCAAACGATGAACTGATAGGCAATCAGGACTGTTCGCGCGAGACAGCGGAGGAGCATATCGATGATGAAGAACGTCAGAGTGGGACGAAAGGCTCCCAAGTCCGCGCAAAGAAGCGTGCACAGAGGAGAGCGCATCCGAAGGGAAACAGTAAGGCAAAGCTCGCGATGAGAACAACGCGTTTAAGTCAGGGCTTCAAACGGCGAACTTAAATAGCGAGAAAAGCACCGTTGTCATTTCTGACGGGTCTGTATCGTATGTGTCTGAGCCGCCGGAAAAGAAAAGCGCATCGTACGCGACAGTGTTCGAATGATAAATTGCTAGGCAATCATCAGGACAGTGCGCGTGAAAGAACTAACAAGCATGTGGGTGCTGATGAGCATCGGAGGTGGGCGAAAGGCTCCGTAGCCGGCACTAAAACAAGTGTGCAAAACGGAGAAAGCGTCCTAAAGACAAGCAGGCGAAAATTGCGACGCGTTTGAGGAATGTGTTCAAATGGCACTTGGAAGTGGTGTGACAGCTTGGGCTAGTTGGTATGGCATGACGATAGTTATAGCGCCAGAACAAAACGACGACACAGAGACAAGAATGACACGAAGGAGTTGGAAGTTAGCGCTCGTGTCCTTCTTGTCTCTCTGTCGTCGTTTTGTTCTCGCGCTATAACTATCGTTATCGTTCAAATGGCGGAGTGAAATTGCGAGAATGCCGTATCGCAAGCGTCCGAGCTGCCGGGGAGCAAGGAAAAGAGGAGCGCATTGTGTGCGTAAGTGGTGAGAGGGAAAGGAACCCTTCCGTTGCTTTCGCGGCGCCTTGGACGGGGTGCGGAACACAAAGGTCGGTGGGTTTCGCGAAGTAGCAAGAAGGGACGACGGCAAGTCTGCTTCGAGGAACGTCTCGGAGTTAGGTAGCAAGGCGACTCACTTATACGTGTGTTGTACACCCCGCTTTCGAGAAGATTGTTCCGGGTGCGACCACCACGAGTTCGACTCAAAGTTGTTGAGAACAGCTGTTGGCTTCTCCAAAATGTTGACCGCGGACTGTTGAAAGGAATTTTTTGTTTGTTTACTTTAGCGATTTTGTAAATAACTAGTTTTAACTTTGTTTTCTTTGCGCTTTATTGTTTTGGTAGCCAATATGCGTTGTATATATATCTTTCGGAAGAATAGTGACACGCAGTAGAGCGAGTTGCTGGGCTTAAGAAATGAGCTTCTTCAAAATAAGGTGACGACAGCTGACGGAAAAGAGTGTATGGCGTTTCCGTTGCGTGTCATGAGTAGACACAGGGAAATATCATGTTAGTGTACTACTAGTTAAATGGGGACTACGTTGTAGTTGAGATCGAAACCGTAGAGAAAAGTCTAGTACCTATGAGGGTAACGGCAGGTTCCAGAATGAACTGAGTTTGACAACTGTGAATGTTGCTACGCTAAGAGAAGAGGCCGACGAAGGCCAGAATAAGTACAATGAGCTGCTGTACAAAGGTTTCATCTAGCGAAACAGCTAAGATAGCTTTAGAACAACTGGCACAGCCACAGTGAAGCTGTGGTGGTTTGAGTTTGTTTTGGGTTTTCGAATGTGCTCTTTAAGTATGTCGGCTACTAAATAGTGTTTAGGTAACCCATTTTTGGTTTTGTCCAGTTCTTGGACATTGTACGTTTTTCTAAGGTAACCATTGTGCGATTCCATAAACGACACGCATAGGAGCCTGTGTAATGGTAGATACGTGTAATTGAGTAGGGGCGACGTTATGAACTAAGTACGACTGAGCGCAGAGACGCAGTAATATTCCTTCCGAGTTTCGTTTTTTCAGGGATCATGCGAAAGTTTCTTCTGTTCATTCATTGTTTTGTTCGCATGTGTACGGTGTGGAAGAAAAGCTATAGTTCGTGTGTTTCTGTGTATGCTTTGTGAAAGTAGTAACTGCAAGGGAAAATCAAGTAGTAGTTCATCCAAGCAGGAGC